GACCCAGCTGGGGAAACTGAGGCAGGGAGCTGGGACTGCCCCATCGTGAGGGTTGGGGGGGGCTTCAACATGTGCCGTGTCCCCTTGCAGTGAGTGGGCAACACTCCCGGACCAGCACACCCATCCGCCATCCCCGCTGCCATAAGTGCCGCGATGCCCAGCCCCGTCCGCCGCCCTCCTGGTGCCGGCGGGCCACCCGGTTTAACCATGTTACCAGCGGATGGTTCGGCGCTGCTGCGAGCTGTGGCACAGGGCAAATTTCGTCTCACCCGGCTCTTGTTGGAAGGGGGAGCCTACATCAACGAGGGCAACGCCGCCGGGCAAACGCCGTTGATGGCCGCGTGCCGGGCTGGCTACGCTGACCCGCTGGAGCAGCCCCGTATGGTGAGGTACCTCCTGGAAAACGGCGCCGATCCCAACATCCCCGATAAGACGGGCAAGACAGCATTGATGCACGCCTGTGCTGAACGCGCCGGCCCGGCGGTAGCCGCCGTTTTGTTGGCTCACGGCGCTGATCCCAGCGCCCGCGATTATGCTGGAGCCTCCGCTTTGGTTTACGCCATTAACCAGGGGGACCGGGAGACACTGCAGGTGCTGTTGGATGCCTGCAAAGCTCGAGGGAAGGAGGTGATCATCATCACCACCGACACCTCGCCCTCGGGTACCAAAACCACCCGGCAATACCTAAACTCGCCCCCTTCGCCCGGGCTGGAGGAGAAACGCTCGCCGGCACTTTGCATGTCGCCCTCTGACATCGAGGTGCGGACGGCGGCTTCGCCGGCCGGCAGTGAGAAAGAAGAGGAGAGGGACGTCTTCTGCTTCCCCCCGCCACCACCACCGGCACCGGTCACTGCCGTACCGGAGCCATCCCGTGGCCGGGGGCGGCCGCTGAAGCGCCTCAATTCGGAGCCCTGGGGGTTGGTGGCCCCGGGGACGGAGGGAACGTGGGGACCCCCTGAGCGTTTGGTGGCGGGGATGGAGGGGCTGAGCCTGGGCGGGCGCCCACGGCGGCACAGTGTGGAGGGCCGGGAGGCGGCGGGGCTACTGGGGGCCGCCTGGGCCGAGCGGGTGCCCCCCGCTTGCCTGCAGCCACTGGCACGCCGGAACACGGCCCCTGAAACGGTGCGGGTCAAACCACCTCGCTGGGACCCCCCTGAAATGGAGGGGTGTCCCTGGGCTGGCTCACCGCCTCCATCACCGGGCCGAGGCCGGCACTGTGCCGCATCGGCCATGCCGCTGCCAGCTGCCGAGTCCCCACCGGCTGCCCGCCGACGCCCACCTGGTTTGCTGGAGCGTCGTGGCTCTGGCACCCTCTTGCTGGAGCCCTTGGCTCCCGGGAGGGCTGGCTTCTTGCCCCCCCTGCACCCTGGCCCACACCCCCCCGGCCCCCGCGGCCCCCCGGCCCCCGGCTCACCCAAGGGACGCCGCAAGCTGCTGCGCCGGCACTCAATGCAGACAGAGGAGATGCGGCAGCTGGCCAACTTCCAGAGCAGCATGGCCCCAGAGCCAGGCAGTTAGGGATCCCCCCATGTCCCCCCGCAACCTGGAGCAGCACTCAGACACCTGGGTCCTGCTCCCAGCATCCTCATGGACCCCCCTGTGAAGGGAGGACCCCAGGCAGTCGCTCTGTCCCTGCCCAGCTGCTCTTGTGCCAGTGTGGGGCCTCCTCGTGCAGGTGGTGGCAACATTCACTCTGAACCCTACTGATGACTGCAGGCACATGACAATTCTTCCTTTGCTGCTGTTGACAGAAACTTTGCACGACCACAAATTCCTTCAGAGCTGGCGTTCCCCCTGCCTCCGTCTCCCCTGCATCTTCCTCCTGCTCCCTCCTCATCCTCCCAGCAGCACTTTTCCCTATGGACCTCATCAGCAGCCACCAACTGCCCAACCTGCCCCACGTTTGGGGGTCCCCACATCCCCGCCGGTGCCAGGCGCTGCTTGGGGCTGTGTGCTGTGAGCAATAACAGCTGCCAGACCCTCCATGTCTCTGGACGGTCCCTCCCCAGGGGAGATCCCCCCCAGTTTTGGGGTGCAGGGTCCCAGAAACGGGGGTGCCAGGGTGGGAGCGGGCAGGGGGTGGGGCACATGCTGTCAGCATCCCGGTGAATAAAGGCCCCAGCACAGCTCAGCCCGTCTCCAAGTGTTGGGGGGCTGAGGGGGGCTGCTGGGCCTGGGCATGAGCAGGGCAGGGTCCAGCACATCTGGGCACACCTGGGTGGATGAGGACTGGCACAGCTGGACACCAGCATATCTGGGTGCCAGCACATCTGGGCACCAGGGTGCATGGGGACTGGTGCAGCTGGGTGCCAGCACATCTGGGCAAGGCGGTGCATGGGGACTGGCACATTTAGGTGCCACCATACCTGGGTGCTAGCACATCTGGGCACCAGCACATCTGGGCCAGGGGACCCCGATGGCTCTTGCTGGCAGAGCAGGGGGGACCCGAGCTGCGGTGTGGCCATGGGAGGGGGCAGCCCAGCCCCCACAGGACACCATGCTGTCCCCCCATGGGGACACGGTGGGAGGGTCCCAGCGGGTGGGCACAGGCTCAGCCCTGGTGCCGGTGGGGGTCCCCATCCCTGGTGGGAGAGGTGAGGGTGCTGGCAGGGCCCCCCCATGGGGTGGGGTGGGAGGGCACTGCAGGCCCTGCAGCGTTGTGCCAGGGGGGTGTGGGGAGCCCGTGGCCTCCCGGCGAGGCTGAGGCTGGCCCTGTGCCGCAGCGGGAGGTTGGGCTGTGCCGGGTGCTGGCAGCACCGGCTGCGGCAAGCGTGGCTGGGCAGCACTGCAGAGCGGTACCGCACCGGAGGGGCCGCCGGGGCTTGGGGACATTGCCGGGGGGTGGGGGCAACGCCACGGGGCACTGCTGGGGCTTGGGGACACTGCCAGGACTTGGGGACAAATGCCATGGGGCACTGCCGGGGCTTCGGGACACTGCTGGGGGGGCATTGCAAGGTCTGGTGGTGGGGAATGCTGAGGGCTGAGTTGGGGGGCACTGCCAGGGCTCAGGGGGACACTGCAGGGGCTTGGGACATTGGCTGGGGTGCTGCTGGGGGGGGCACTGCTGAGGATGGGGTGGAGGATGCTGTCACAGGACATGGCTGGGGATGGGGGCAGCACCCATGGGACAGCTGGGCCCTCCCTCCATCCATGTGTGTGTGTGTTGTCCCCCCTACCCTTTCTCACTCACCGAGAGCTCGGCCCAGCTAAAAACACCCCGCGGGGGGAGGAGGAGGTAGCTGGGGGGGCCCGGGCATAAGGATGTGGCTCCAGCATGGATGCAAGGACAGGGAGCAGGGCCAGCCATGGGACACCCCCCCCATCCCCTTCTCTTCAGCCTCAGTGACAAGAGGGATTTTCTAACCCCCACAGCGTTATTCCCTGGCAGAGGAGGAGGAAGGCCACCCCAGGCTGGCCAGGGGACACCGACAGGGGGTGATGCTGAGGGACACCAGTGACCAGCCTCGTCCTGCTGGGTGCTGAGGGGTCCTGGGGGTGAGCTGCACCCCCAGCTGCTCCCAGAGCCAGGAGGGTCCTCAGGGAGGCGGGGGACAAGGCTGCTGTCCCCAGCCTGGGACCGGACTCCCTTATGCACCGCACCACTGCCTTGGAAACGAGAGGGGACCCGGGCAGGCGCCATCGCTCTGGGTCCCCCCTGGGCTGAGATCTGACCAAACTCAGGGCAGAGGAGCAGGACCTCACCAGGAGAATCGGGGCAAACCCAAAACATGCTCAGCGTCATCACGTCCTGCTGGGGGGACAAGCCCAAGCGGGTCCCCGGGCTCCCACCCCCACAGCAGCCACCGCCGGCATGAATGTCACTGGGACAGCAGGGAACTGGAGCTGCGCCAGCAAGGAGCCCATCCTGCTGCCCACCTTCTCCACCGCGGCCAAGGTGCGGGTGGCCGTCACATGCCTCCTCTTTCTCTCCTCGGCTTGCTGCAACGGTGCCGTGCTCTGGGCAGCCGCCCGGGCGCCACGGCGGCGTCCACCCCGCGTCCGTGTCCTGATGGCCAACCTGGCGGTGGCCGATCTGCTGGTGACAGTAGTGGTGATGCCGTTGGATGCCGCCTGGAACATCACCGTGCAGTGGTACGGGGGGGATGCGGCGTGCCGGGTGCTCATGTTCCTCAAGTTGGCTGCCATGTACGCCTCGGCCTTTGTCACCGTCGTCATCGCCTTGGACCGTCACGCCGCCATCGTCAACCCATTGGCTGTGGGCTGCGCTGAGAGGAGGAACAAGGCGATGCTGTGTGTGGCGTGGGTGCTCAGCGCCGTGCTGGCTCTGCCCCAGGTGGGCGAACCCCAGCCCTGAGGTACAGGGAGGGGACACCTCGGAGGGGATGCCACCCACCACCTCGGGTGAGGTGGGATGATGATGATGACAATGGCGGGAGGGAGGAAGGATGCTAACGGCCCCGTGGCCCCTTGCAGGCATTTATCTTCCGCACGGTGAGCCGGTTGCAGCCCCGCCATTTTGTGCAGTGTGCGACGGTGGGCAGCTTCAGGGCACACTGGCAGGAGACGCTCTACAACATGTTCACCTTCACCTGCCTCTTCCTCCTGCCCCTGCTCGTCATGGTGCTCTGCTACGGCCGCATCCTCGCCGCCATCTCGGGCAGGATGAAGGACACCCGCGGTGAGAGCACGGACCAGGGCCATGTCATTCCTCCACCCTTTCTCCATCGCTGCTTGGTTCTTCTCTTCCTTTTTCACCTCCTGATGCTCCTGCTGGGGTCCAGCCCCCCACTTGGGTCCCCTCTCCCCCACTCATTAACCCACCACTCTTAATTAACCCCTGGGCAACACGTTCCTCCTCTCTCCTTCCTACCCCTCGGTCCATTTCCCCCCCCCCAGTCTCCTCCCAGGAGATCCAGCTCCGTCGATCCTACGACAACATCCCCCGGGCCAGGATGCGCACACTCAAGATGTCCATCGTCATCGTTCTGACCTTCATTGTCTGCTGGACGCCCTACTACCTCCTGGGCCTCTGGTACTGGTTCTCCCCCGAGATGCTGACCCGGGAGAAGGTGCCGCCATCTCTCAGCCACATCCTCTTCCTCTTCGGCCTCTTCAATACATGCCTGGATCCGCTCATCTACGGGCTCTTCACGGTGCATTTCCGCAGGGAGATGTGGCGCACTTGCCGCTGCAGCCACCGCCAGCACAAGCAGGAGGTCGCCTCCGCCCTCAGCGGTTCCTTCCGCGTCTCCACCACGGCCGTGCCGGCCAGGAGAGCCGGCAACAGCCTGGGGGGATCTGGAAAGCACGAGCTGGAGGTGATGGCGGATGCAGCTCTGCCAGGACGGAGGTGTGAGCTGTGCCGGAGGAGGACAGTGGAGAGCTTCATGTGATGGGGGAGGCCAGGCTGGACCCATGGCAGAGCAAGGGGAACCCCCCAAAAGTGGGCTGGGGGGAAACACAAGAGGTCTGTGCCACCACAAAGGCACTCAACAATAAACTTTGATTATTTTCTCAGCAGGACCCTGTCTTTGGGCCAAGGGATGGTTTAACCAGAGCCAGCACTGTGGCATCACCAGCATGTTTCTGTGCCGGGCAGGGTCTAATGGCACCACCAACGTGTGAGGAGCAATAAGCCAGAAGCCAGGCACCCCATGTCAGGCAGAAAGCAAAATCTGGGGCAGAAATTCCTTTAAAAGATGCCACCGTGGCTCCTTGGGGGGGGGGGAGGAGAATTTAAAATGTGCCCCTTCCTGTGCACTGGGGGCATGGGGAGAATTCAACACTCCCAGAGCCTGCCAATCTGACAGAGAACAGCGCACGGTGCAATAAAGCTGTCGCTTGTAAATGCTACTTTAAGGAAAAATGGCTTTTTCAACTAGTAAGGTATTCTATTGCCAGCCCCAAGATCAACAGCCAATGACATCAACTGATTTTAGACAAATCTAAAAGTAGCAGAGGCATGAAAGGAACTGGGGCTCAGTTACAGCTTCTCAGAACATTTAATTAAGGACAAATAACGAGAGGACAATTTTACACAAAATCGGAGTTATTTAAAAGGCTGAGTTCACTCGCAAACGTAAAGTCCAAGAGAATAAACCCCTCAGGAGATGTAAGGAACATTTGCCTGGGGTATAGAAAACAACTTCTCTCTAAAAGAAGAGTGACCAAAATGCCAGGTCACTCACAGGCGTAACAAAATGCTTAAAAACGTCATAGTTTGGTACGTAACTGGGCTCAGGGGCTGTATTCACCACAAACACAAGTGAAAATAACCCCCAGAAACCTCAGGTGTTTGCTTCTTCACTCGAGTTTTCTTGTATGAAAACAATAAAATCTTGTAAGAAGCAAACCTGCTGAAGCAATGAACTGTTTTACTCCTCCAGCTGTTTCTCAAATGCCATGCCTCCAACATACAAATTCCCCCCGATTCCCCCCACCCAGTTCCCCCAGTCTGGACTTGGAACGCACAGGTAGAAATGAGGATCCATCATCGGCGTCTCCTGTCCGGACTCCTGCTCCGTCGGCGCCCACCCCTGGAAGAGAGGGGGCAGAGAGTGTCAGGGGTGGCTTATTGGCATTTCCAGCCCATGCCATGATTTCACTCTCTCTAATCTAGTGGCTTTCTACAATGGAGTGGTGTCATCAGTGGACAACTGATGTCATCTACCCAGACTTCTGTAGGGCCCTGTATATGGTCTACGTCGGAGAGCTCTGGGTGTGGTGGATGGACTGGTGGGTGGACAAGGAGTTGCCTGGATGGCCACGTCTGAAGAGTTACAGTCAATGGCTCAACGTCCCAGCAGAAACCAGTAACAAGCGGTGTCCCTCAGGGGTTCATACTGGGACTATAATACCTTCATCGGTGGCATGGATAGGGGGATCAAAAGCACCCTCAGGGAGGGTGGGCAGCTGATATGTGGCTGAGGGAGGATGGGATGGCATCCAGAAGGACCTGGACAGGCTGGAGGAGTGGGCTGGTGTGAAGCTCCTGAGGGTCATGCGCCTGGGGGGGGGGCAGTTCCCAGTACCAGCAGACTGGGGGATGGATGGGTTGGGGGCAGCCCTGTGGAGAAAGACCTGGGGGTACAGGTGGGTGACAAATGGGACCTGAGTCAGCAATGTGTGCTGGCAGCCCAGCAAGCCAACTGTCTCCTGGGCTGTATCACCAGCAGCATGGCCAGCAGGCTGAGGGAGGGAATTCTGCCCCTCTGCTCCGCTCTGGTGAGACCCCCCTGGAGCTCGGCGCCCAGCTCGGGGGGTCCTCAGTGCAGGAAAGACACGGAGCTGTCAGAGCAGGTCTGGAGGGGGGACACAAAAATGATGCGAGGGCTGGAACACCTCTGCTATGTAGAGAGGCTGAGAGAGTTGGGAGAAGAGAAGGCGCCAGGGAGACCTCACTGTGGCCTTTCAATATAGAAAGGGGCTTATAAGAAAGATGGAGAGACTTTTTACAAGGGCCTGTAGTGACAGGACAAGGGACAGTAGTTTTAAACTGGAAGAGGGTAAGTTTAAACTGGACATAAGGAAGAAATTTTTTATGGCAAGGGTGGTGAGGCACCAGCACAGCATGCCCAGAGAGGTGGTCAATGCCCCATCACTGAAGACATTCGAGGTCTGGTTGGACTGGACCAACCTGATCAAGTGGGAGATGTCCCTGCCATGGTCTAGATGGTCTTTCAAAGGTCCCTCCCAACCCAAACCCTTCTGTGATTCACCCCAGCATGGGTTCCAGAGTTTTCTTGACCAGGCAAATAAGCCAGTCCCCAGCACGCCGAAGTCTCAGTCGCTCACTGGCACACCTGCAGCTCGGCCCTTACCTTCTCTTTCCTTTCGGGGGCCCTCTCACGAAGCACCAATCCACGCTGATGGGCTGCCCCATCAGCTCCTGGCCATTCAGCCCCTCCATGGCCGCCTGTGCCTCTTTATAGGTTTCATACTCGACCAGAGTATATCCCTAAGGAGTAGGAGGGAGGGAGCGTGAGCCACAGCAGATCCTGGCAGAGGGGGAGCTCAGTGAAGCGCTGGACATGGGAATAATCCTTCCCTGTGCCCCCCCGAGCCAGGGAAGGGGACGAATGAGCGTGCGTTGCAGCCAGCCGCTGCCACGCGGACAAGCTCAAATGTCCCGTAAGCCAAGATGAAGGTGATGAAGCAGCCGAGAGGCTCGAGGGGCAAGCGCAGCCCATACTGACCACCCCCGCCTACCTTCAGGTAGCCTGTCCGTCTGTCGAGGTTCAGGTGGATGTTTTTTATCTCGCCGTACTCCGCAAATTTGTCATGGATGTCTTCTTCTGTCGCTTCCTCATGAACCCCCGTGACAAAGAGAATCCAACCCTCCACCGCTGTGGTGTGAAAGGGGTAGGAGTTATGCCAAGTACAGGGCGTGCTCCCACATCACCTGGGGGGTCTCAGGGAACGGGCCCCCCCCCAAAAGCTGTGGTGAAGCACAGCACAAGCCGTACGTGGGTGGGGAGATGGAGCCTCAGAAACCAAGGCTGTTGGCTTAGCCTGACATAAATCCTGGCAGGGTGGGGAAGGGCTCTATCCCAGCCAGGTCTGAACCCCAATACGGAGCCGAAGACCCCCACGTTCTCCCACCATCTCCCTTCCTTCTGGTAAAGTGCCCGTGGTGAGTGCGGGGAAGGTGCCTCCCATGATACTCACACCTCTGCGGGCCCGGCTCATCGCCATCCTGCTCCACGCTGTCATAGTCCTCACGCACGCGGGCCCGCGAGCCCTCCTCTGGGCGCAGCAAAGCGGGGAGAAAGAGAAATGGGTGACCAGTGCCATCACTCAGGAGGACAACAGGGCCCAGACAACCACAAACCCGTTTAAAACTCCCCAAAAGCACAAAGATGGGGGGGGGTGTTTACACCAGACCGCTCTCCGAGCGACTCCATGGCAAGGGTTTAACCCAAAACGGGAGACTGAGGCCCGGAGCGGTGGGGGACACCCCGGAGCCCGACGCAGGACAGATCGCAACGGGTGCGCCTCACCTGAGCCGAAGCCTCGGCCCTTCCGCTTCTTGGCTTTCTCCTTCAGCTTGTGGATGCTCTCTGCGGGCGAAAGGGGAGCGGGTCGGAACCGGGGAGGGGACCCAGACCACGGCCCCGGGCGCGGCTCGTCCCCCCCGGGCTAGGCTCGGTACTGCGGCTTGTGGGGAGAGGGGGGGAGAACTGGACCGGGACTTGGGGG